TGCTTTGCAATCCCAGGAGGGAAGGGGCGAGATGCCCACCTTACAGGGAGGCGCAGGAGTCTACGAGCCAAGATCTGTCTGCACCAGGGGACACACTGGGGCTGGCTTTGGGTGCAGAAGGCAGGTTGGTGTCCCCAGGCACACCCGAGCTGGTAGCAGAGCAGCCTCTGTGTCAGATAATCTGGGTATTGCTGTGATTAGAGCTCTGTCACAGCGAAGGAGAGATTACAGCCGTGAGTGATGGGACTCAGGGGGTTCTCGCTGGCACTGCCGTTATCCCTTGGCTTGTGCCCTGGCACGGGACCATTTCCCCATCACACCGTCCTCCCCAGCCTGGCTTGTGTGAGGGTCCCCATGGGGTGCAGGGAACCTTCCCCAAATTGCAAAGCCACTTGTTGCGGCAGCGTGGAGGGTGGGCGGATGACGCAAACCCTCACCCAGTGCAGAGCATCCCGTGCTCCGTGGTTAGACCAACACCTACCAGTCCCACGATGGTGCAGGAGCTTTGCCTCTGCGGGGGCACAGAGCCGTGTCCCTAATGACTTCTCCTCTAATGAATTTGTTCCTGGAGGCTCTGAAGTGACAGGAATAATGAATCCCAGGGCAGAGGAGCAGCCTGCCACTTGTCAATTAACCCTGGGCTTGGGAATCTCATTTGAATGGCTGGGGTTAGGAAGGGGGAGGCCAGGAGCACGCAGGGGAGCCCTGCTGATGCTGCTTTCAGGAAGCCACCACTGCTGGGCTGTGCAGAGCCCCATCCCCTCCCCGGGGAGCACGTCGTGGCGGGAGGGGACACACACGTTGCTGTTTGCAGGACGATTGAGCTGGGCCCCCCTTCCCCAAGGCGCCAGCCCCATGCTCGCCCAGCGCTTGGCAGGCGCTGGCTCTGCGGGGAGCCCCTGCAGCGCGTTCCCTGATTGATGGTGTACGTTAGCGACAGCAAAAGCTTATTATCTACCTGCAATCAAGAGGGCACTTCAGCATCGTGCTTCCCGGAGCAGCTGCGCTCCCACCGAGTCCGTAATGGTGGAGATTAAACCCTGACCTGTGTTTGACAACAGGCATTAACCCCGCTTTAATGAGGAGAGTCCCCGAGGCCCCCGGCGAGCAGGTGGCAGAGCCAGGGGAGGCTGAGATCCCACCGGGCTGGGGGTGATGCCGGTGGGAGGGATGGTGCAGGCAGTAGTTTGCTCCTGGAGGGTTTTGCCCTGCCCAGGGTGGGGGATGATGAGCTTTGCACGGCTGAGACGGGTGCGCGGGGCTGTTGGGTGGCACTGGGTGCAGATCCTCGTGGGTTTGCCCCTGGGGCGCAGACACGTCCCTGCGGTCCTCACTCTTCTGGCAGGAGGGTGGGCTGTTTGCTGGGGGACGAGCCCCACGGCAAACCCTTCCCTTCGCAGAGCCGCTCTCGCTGCACATCCCGGTTTTCCACGGGAGATTTTCCCTCTTGCCCTGACGAGTATTTGCGGCCAAGACCCGCCTGGGTGGGACGGGGCAGCCACTGCTTATTAACTGGGGTGGGCTTGTTAGGGCGAGCTCTGGCAGGCGGCACAGGGGTGCAAGCGGCAGTGCCGGGCATGCTTGGCCACCTCCTGTAATTACGTCCCCAGCATTTCACTCTCCCTGTCAGTCTCCGCTTCCCTGGATGCGGGCTGCTGAATATTTCATCCTTGGCTCTTCCCAGCAGCCTCCCTGCAAAGCTGCTGGCTCTGCCACCATGGGACCAGGCTGCCACTGCTGCGGGGGCTCAGGCCAGGAGCTGAAAGCAACTCCGGGTGCTCCCAGACCCTGGGGCTGCAACTCTGGGTGCCTGGTTGCTGCTTGAGCCTGTGGGAGGTTTGGGAATGGGTCCAAACTGGGTTTTTCCAGGCTGTTTCTTGCTATAAGCGCCCTGCATCCCATGCTGCTGTCCGTCAGGGATGGTATGTGTGGGATCTTGTGTCTGAGCATCCTTAAATCATCTGTCTCCTGGAGCTGGCTATGGGATTCTGCCCTGGTCCTGGAGGCTTCCTCCACTATTCTTGCTCCTCTTTGGTCCTTTCCCAAAGCTGGAGGAGGAAAGGGGTCCCTATTCCTCACCTTCTGCCTTCTCCCAGAGTCAGACCTTGGCTCGAGTCTGGGATCGATGCTGCGCCATCCCACCAGAGGAGGGAGAGCAGCCGCCTCCTCCCCATTGCCGCCGCCGCCGCTTTGCTTTGATTTCTTGCTTTAAAGGAGTGTTTTGACTAAATGGATTTTTGTGCGAAGACAGTAGGAGCATCGCTTGGCAAATCCCCCTTCCCGCTGCGGCGCCCAGGGGCCATGAATAATGCAGGCTCTGAGAGCTGGGGCTGCTGGAGGTGAGCAGGGCTGCCCTGAAAAGCGCAGCTCTGCCCCCTCCAGCCACCTCCCCCTGGCCCCCTTGACCTCTTCTTTTCATTATTAAGAGGATTTCATTAGTAAAGAAGATAAAAAAGTTAAGCAGTGCTGTCTGCGTCAGTGCACGGGCTGGAGGAGGGTGCTGCAGGAATGTGGGACTCCCAGACTCTCCGGGGGCTTTTACCTGGGCTGGATTTGTGTTATTTTTAAGCTTGGAGAGCCCTGATGAGCTGTAGTAAACTGTGGGACCCAGGGGTTGCAAACATCCATGTCCATCCTCAGGGCAGTTCTCTCCCAGCATCCAGCCACATTTTTGGGTCCCCCATGCCTGCTTTCCCATCCCGCTGGCCTGGCCACATTCCCCTTCACGTGCTCTGCGCTCTCCGGCCACTGTGTTAATAAGATTCTCATTATGTCCTAATTACCCATATCCCTTTTTTGTTACTTTCCTCATTAGTTTGATTTAACGGAGCTGCCGAGTAACTTGGTCATTTCTGAATTGCCATCGATTTAGTCTCTTTTCTTATTTATGTATGGGCCCATCTCCTCCGCCCCTCCTCTCCCCACGCGTAGAAGACGGTCCCTGCCGCAAGTTCACCCAAGGCCACTCACTGCCCCTGCAAGTGCCGCGGGATCCTTGGGATGCTCAAAGCCACCGTTTGGGGTGAGGGCAGTAAAACACTCATGGAGGACCCCAGTGCAAAGCCTTACTGCTGTCCCAGGAAAGCCTCGAAGCTGGGTTTGCTCCGGCCGTGCTGGGAAGGAGCCGGCGCTGCAGCTCCCATGTGCACGCCTGGAAGCCCCGTGTCCCTGCCTTGCGTGCTCACGAGTGCACGTGTGTTCAGGGGCACACGTTACGGTGGGACGCATGTCAGGGCGTGTGCCTCCCCGCACTCACACGAGCCGGGAGCAGAGCCCACGCAGCCCGGGGGGCCTGACGGTGCTGGTGCCTGGTGGCACACGGGTGTGCGGCTGTGCCAGCCCTGAGCCCACCCTCGCGTGTCCACGCCCCTGCCTGACTCCGCGCCGGGGCTTTTGGAAGGTTCTCGTGTTTGCAAACTGCTGCTTTTGTTGGATTTTTCCTCCTTTTATTGCCATGGAAACTGTAATTAAGCTGCACCAGCTCCTTAGCTGGAGCCGCAGTCTCTGGCGGCACAGCCGGTGCCACCCTGGCCTGGCCGGGGGTTGGTGGTGACGGGGGCCCCCCCAGGCAGGGACGTGCCTGTCCTACCGGCACTGCCTGCTGCTGCCCGACTTGCCTGGCTGATCTGTCTGTCCGGGAGTCTGTTTATCCAACTCCCTCCTCTCCATCCATCTGGCTCCCCATATGGGAAAGAAACAGCAAATTGGCCCAATTTTTTACCATAGGAAAAAAAAAAAAAACAAAACCAAAACTAAACCCACCCCCCCTCTCCGTGCCTGGTTTGCACAGGGCAGGGTCAGGCGATGCTCCCCCAGCCAGCGTACACTTGCTGGGGGATGCTGTTATCCTCATCCCTGCAAACCTCCCTTTCTGTTTGCTCAGGACCCATCAGATCCATCCCCCTCTCTGTCATTTGGCTGCAAGGGGCCAAATTACTCTAATTTTCCTCCAGCCCTGAGAGAAGGAGCAAATTGTCCCATCCCAGAGGCCTCTGCCTCGATGCCTCTCCCCATCCCGTCCTCCCCCTGCTCCTCTCCAGGGCACTAAGCTGGGAAAGCTCTCCCTGCGACCATGTGCTAATTACTCTGACCTTTGCTTAAGTGGGGATCTTTTAGTGGCAGGCAAGGTATCAGCCGTGTCATTTACTATGCAAATTGAGACCATCAATTACATCCAGAAGGTCCCGCGATGTTTAATTTTCTCTCCCATCTCTCTTTTCATTGGCATCTGCAAAAATGCAGGAGCAGGAGGGCTCTGGCTTTTCAAAGCTGGAGGCTGGGAGCCCAGCAGCAGTGTGTGGGGACTCTTCCAGTTGCCAGCTTCCCCTTGTCGCTTTTAATTTTAATTAGCTGCTTTTGCAATCGCCCCATGGAAAGCTGAGCTGGGAGCTCAGCTGGTGCTGCAGGGATGGGAATGAAACCCTTTGCAGGGCCAGGCTGCTGTCTTGGGAGTGAAGAGCTTGTTCCAGGGCTGCAGCCCATCATCTCTTCTTCCCATGAGCTGTTTTTGCCAGTGTTTGACCACTGCACATGAAGAGCCCTTTGCAAAACCCAGTCCTGGGCTGGTGAGGGGCTGGCGCTTGGAGCTGGCTGGAAAATCCTCTCTGAGCCTCCGGGATGGGACTGTGTGTCTGTCGGGGGGACAGGGTGTGGTGTGGTTGTGGCTCGAGGTGACAGGTACCAAGAGGAGTGGGTGGAAGGCAGAGATGAGATGTGGGATGGGACGGAAGGTGCCACAGGAGGGCTGAGCTGTGAGGGAGAAGAGGGGTGAAGGGAGGGCTCAGGTACATGCCCCGGGTGGCTGGGTGGTGGGAAGGGAGGCTCTGGGGGCAGTGGGCTGTGGACATGGTGGGGTGCTGAGCCCCTCACTGTGGCTGGGGTGCAGGGGAGCTGGGGAGACCCCCGTTGGCCTGCTGTGGGGCTGAGGAGCCGTGGGAGAGGGGCTGTCCCCGGGGAATGGGGACAGTGGGGTGTCTCAGTGCCAGGGCTCTCTGCCGCAGGGGGGGTGTGCGTGGCCCAGTCCGTCAAGATCCCGCGGGAGCCTAAGCCGGGAGAGTTCGACAAGATCATCCGCCGCCTCCTGGAGACCTCCCACGCACGGGCCGTCATCATCTTCGCTAACGAAGATGATATCAGGTGCGGAGGGGCCGGCCTGGCTGGGAGGGGAGGCTGGGGCGGGGAGGGATGCGCTTCAGGGTGCCTGCACTGAGCCCGACGTGCGCTTTACGCGTGCTGCTGGCCGGGGGTGGGATGCAGGATGCTAAACGGAAGGAGCTGGGCACCGCAACAGGAGCGGAGCGCGCCTGCTGTGTGCAGATGTGCCTGCAAGGTGGAGCAGATGTGCCCTGCGTAGCTGCCTTTGCAGGACGTGGCTGCAGAGGGGAGAGGATGCACCTTGCAGCGTGGCACAGACGCACCTGCAGCAGGGACCCACCAGCGCTGACCTCAGGGCTGGCCGCCTGGCACGTTGCTGCCGTCAAACCACAGCAACGCAGAGCTCAAAGGAGGAGAAATCCGCTTTCTGTTGGCTTTTGGGAAGCCCTGCTGTCACCACCCGGCTGCTTCACGCCGCTCACGAGCTGGCTCAGCGCTGGCGTGGGACCTCGCTGAGCCCCGACTGGGGCAGGATCCAGGCACCGGTTCTGCTTTGCTCTTTGCTGTGCAGCCTCAGCCCCCAGCACGGAAGAGGAACAGATCCAGGGGGGCCTTTTGGGGATCCCCCCTTGCCGCCTTGCCTGCCCATCGGGGCTGGGGACACAGCCACACTTCGAGGTGATGAGCTGCTCCGCAGGCGAAGTCATGTCTTGCAGCTCCTGTTTATGGAGCAGAATGATTCACATGGAACTACCCCTGATTTCCTAAGTATCTAATTTATTAATCAGCAAACATTATGTAAATGTGGGTAAACTGCGATTTTAAATCAGTTTACATCAGATGTGCAAACGCTCCGAGTTTCTTTTTTCCTTCCTTAATAGAAATGTCTGCAAACCTGACATTTACGCGGGTGTGTGGTGAGAAACGGGGGATTTACCTCGCTGTGTAAATGGCAAGCCCCATTAACGGGTTTGTAAACATTTACCCATCCAAATAGGATTACATCCCATGAGCAGTGGTTTACACACACCCACCTCACACCGGGTAAGTGTGGGTTTAGCCTGGGCATGGGGACTGCTGTGATCCCAACCCGCGGTGCCTGCTCGGGCTGCGGAGCCTGGAAGACGGTGTCCTGCCTCTCCTGAAATGTGCGGGGCCAAACTGCTGAGCAAGACGGTCCGGAGGTGGTTGTTGCTCGAATTTCTGCCTGGCTCAGATCAGGTGTAAATCACCAATCTCACAAGAACGTGCCCTGGAGAGATCCTGCCCCGCACGAGGACTGCGGGCAGCTGGAGATGCTGCTTGTGCTCGGAGCAGGACACGGCTTTGCTGACCTGGGGCGTGATGTGTTTTTTTTTTGTTGATGTTTTTTGTTTTGTTTTGGGTGGTTTTTTTTTTTTTTTGGTTTGTTTGTTGTTTGGTTTTGTTTTTTTTTTTTCCCCCTTATGTGTTTCAAATGCCATCTGGACTTGAAATGATCAGCTCCCAACGGCGGGGGGTGAGTTGCAAACCTGCCTCCTCGCTGCACAGGGAATTGAAGCTGCCCCAGACCCCGCTCCCGTGGGGCTGGGGACCCATGCAAGCCACCAAGGGGATGGCGAGCCCTGGGAAAAAAGAGCCCAGAGGGTCGGATCCGGATCCAGGAAAGCTCCCATCCACCTACTAAGACTTTCTGAACTGGCTGGCACCGGTGGAACATGCCAGCGTGTGCGGCTGAGTGTCTGGCCGTGCTGAGGGATGCTCAGCAGGACGGGTGGCATCTCCAGCTCCCCACTGCTGCTCAGCTGCCCAGTTGAGCCCAGCAGAGCCCAGTTTAGCTCTAGCTGGGGCACTGGCAGCACTGGCTGGTTCTCTGCATGGCTTGCAATGCTGACAGGAGCTGAGAGCACATGCACGCTCTCCGGTGCTGCTGTTTTTCCTGCCTGCTGCGGCATAACCTGATTTTTTTTTTTTTTTTTTTTCCTCCTAATGTTGGGTAATTAAGGGGGAAATTCAATTACCAGTCAGCAAATATGCAAACGAAGTGGGAGAAACAGCCTGTTTGCCCGGGCTGGGGAGGACAGAGGGTGCAGGTGCTGAGCAGAATGGTTTGCTCTCGTGTATCCACGTGCACTTGGTGCTGACCAAGCCCAGGAGATGCCACCAGCGCTGTGCCCTGCCCCGTGCCAGCATCCCCGCTTCCCTGGGGCCAGACATGGAGCTGGAGACCTGGCCCTTTGGTGCCGGCGAGTGCCAGCTCCTGTTGCTTCTCTCTGCAGAAGGGTGCTGGAGGCGGCCAAGAGGGCGAACCAGACGGGACACTTCATCTGGATGGGCTCGGACAGCTGGGGCTCCAAAATCTCCCCAGTCCTGCACCTGGAGGAGGTGGCCGAGGGCTCCGTCACCATCCTGCCCAAGCGGGTCTCTGTCAGAGGTAAGGGGCTCCGCTCGGTGGGTTCCCTCAGCTTCCCCCTGGGTTGGCTGTTCCCCTGATAGCAACCCCTTAACCACAAAGTTTTGGCGGTGAAAGACTCTTTGTTTTGCAGTGGGTCTTCCCTGAGTGGGTTTTACAGCCTGCCACTTTGCCTGGGTGACAGCTTGGACACAAACCCACCACACTCTTACAAGTCCCTAATCCCTGTTGCCCACAAGACCTTCCTTCCCCTCTGTCTGGGAATTTTTGGGCCATTTTAAGCATCTCTCTTCCATCCCAGAGGTTTATCCCCTCCGTCCCCTCTTCCCTGGGCAGGTTTCGACCGCTACTTCTCCAGCAGGACACTGGACAACAACCGCCGAAACATCTGGTTTGCAGAGTTTTGGGAGGAAAATTTCCACTGCAAGCTGAGCCGGCACGCACTGAAGAAGGGCAGCAGCATCAAGAAATGCACCAGTGAGTGTCATGGGGATGGCGTGGGCGAGTGGATGCTCGTGGGCATGTGGGGCTGTATTGCATGGAGTGCGTGGGGACATGAAGATGATGGCAGAGACCTCAGGGCAGGTGTTAGAAAAGTTTTGCTTGCTTTCCCCTTCTGGCCTTTCGGTTCAGTCACATCCTTATTGCTCCGGAGCTGCCTGCCCAACTCAAGGCAGCTACGTGGCAATTAATGCTCCCTGCGTGGCGGTCTCAGTTGGGAGTGTGTTTTTTTTGGTCTAAGCAAAAAGCCAGGTTGGGAATTTGGGGAAGGTTGAAGAAACGCTGGCGCTTCTGCAGCGTGGGCACTCGGGTGTCTGTTGGGCTTGTGACGGCAGTGGCTCGCTTAGAAGTGGACAGGAGTGTTGCACAAAAGAACTTTTGTGCATCCCTGTGTGCTGTGTGTGATCTAGGAAGCGTGTGGAGCCTGCTTGGTTTGTGTGTGAGCGAAGGCACGGTCCCTCTGCAAAGCTCCCAGGGCCGCTCCCTCTCATGCACACTTCTTGCACGTCTCCCTTCCCTTGGCTGTGCCTTCTGCGGGTACAAACCCACCCAGATTTGGGGGATTTGGGGCTGAATTCTGCATTGTTTCGCAGCATTTGGACAACTGTCTGTTTCCCATCGTGTGCTTGGCAGAAGCACCGTTGTCCCATGTAAGGCATGAAGCCACCGGTGCGCCCTTGCTGCCTCGCAAGCAGCTCCTGTCTCACCTGAGCAGGGTAAAAGCTGGGGTGGCTGCAGAGAAATGAGCCCAATTAATTTGCACAGGGTCAGGATTCAGCTCTCGCTCAGCCAGTGTTGAGGCTGCGGCCGCAATGCGCCCATGCCGACAGGGAGGGTGCTACCGGGCACCCCACGGGAGGGTGCCGGGGTGCCTGGAGAGGGGGTGATCACCCGGGGGCACGTGCAGGGGTGGCATTTGCCCGCCGTCTCCTTGCAAACTGCTTTGCTGATGTGCCCCTCCAGGTAGGGAACCTTGTCCTGGCAGAGCCCGATCCCAGGCCCCCCCCCGAGCCCCTTCTCAACCCCCACTGTGCATTTTTAGCCGTTTCCAGCTAAAAGAGGCTTGTAGGGATTAATGCAGTAAACAAGGCAACCAGGGGATCTGTCTTGCTGACAGCGCTGCTGCCGAGGTGATGGTTGGAGGCTCAGAGAGGTGACATGTTTACTGAGAGACGGGAGAGATTTACTGCCTGCCTGGCACCGGCTGAAGACAGATAATGATGCGGCGGCTCGCAGGCTGTGATGTGGCAGGACTTGGGGACATTTGCGTGTGCCCCCCACATTTCCTTGGGAGGGATGTCTGTGGAAGCTGTGGCATGCCAGCGGGTGAAGGGACCTGGTTGTGCCTGGAAAGTGTGATCCCTAAGGTTTTTTTTTTTTTTTTTTTTTTTTCCCCCACTTTTACCTCTGCGGATGAGGGATGGTGCTTCTACATCCTCTCCCTTTCAGGCATTCCCCAAATGTTCAGCTGATGATTTGGGGCCACTTCTGTCCCCACAAGGGCTTTTCAGTGCTGCAGCTTCCCCAAGTAGACTTGTGGCTAATGCATAGGTGTGAGCTTGGTAAGCAGCAAGGATATGCAAGAAAACTTGCCTGTGGCCGTGGCCTTGGGTAGTTGAGAGCTCCTCATCTTTTCTGATTGCATCAAGAAATCCCTGGCACCAGGAAATGCATGAGCAGGTCCTGCAAACCGCTGATCTCTTCATCTTCATAGTAATGTAGCATTTAAACAAGCAATATTTCAGGGCCAAGGTATTAGTGGAGGCAGCTGAAACCACGATATGGCAAATGTCCTAGGAACTGTCTTTAAATTATCTGAATTTGTCAGCAAATAAATTATCGCCTGAACATTTGCTTGGCAGATAAATGGAGAGGGGAAATAATGCATGATGAAGCAATAACCAGCCTGTGCAGTTCCACACATTCCTGCTTTGCACGGCTGATGCAAATGTCCTGTTTGGGACTGTTTTCTGGAGGGAATTGTACTGACTCTCCCCACGAGCTTCAAGTTTGAGTGGAGCCCAACATGCACAGAGAAATTCCAGCGTTGCTTGCTTTTGCATCCCCAAAACCAAACTGAAGGGTCCCACCACCCAACAGGACAGCTCATGGCTCTCGTTCATGTGTGGGAGAGCTGGGAGGAAGGTGAGGGGCGAGGGCTGGGGTGGGCACTTGGTTTTGGGGCAATTCCTGCTGGCAGCTGCTCATGTTATCCCCGAGACCAGCCCTAGCATCCATCAGGACCGGCGCACCCATCCTCAGGCTGTCCTGCTGGGACCAGGATCAGGCCAGCACCCATCTCCCAGCTGCTTTTGCAGTAGGATCTCCTCAGCATCCTTCCCCAACCTCCAAGCTCCCTTCGCCGGGCTGCATCCCTGACCCTCCTGGGTTGGGCAGGCTCCCGCGGGGCAGCCAGCCCCGCTCGTGCCCGGCTGGCCAGGCTGGCAAGGATCCTGCCAGCCGCCGCTTCGTTAATAATTCACACACGTGCAGATGCAGACGGGGAGGTGCTGGGGTGCTGCGAGTGGAGACGGAGGAGCCGATGGCAGCGCCGGGTTTGCCGGGCCGAGGGGGTGCCAAGGGCAGGAGGACGGGGCACAGCTTTGGGCTGTGTCCCCCCCACCTGCCACCCGCATGGGGACTGCGGGATGCTCCCAGGCTGATCTCTTTCCAGGTGAGCTCATTAATGGCCTTCGTTTAGCAAGGCTGGATGGTAACTCTGCTTTGAAGCAGGGCTGGGGATTTCTCTGTGCGCTCACCTCCGCCTGACTAGACTGTGGATAGATGTAGAGCAGCAACGTGGCCGGCGGGGAGAGGAGGTTTTATTTGATTTTCCTTCTTTATTTGTGATTCCTCATACTCTTCTCCCTTTCTGTTTTGCTCCTCTCCAATCTTTTCTTAATATGGTTTTTTTTTTTTGTGGCAGTGGCTGTTTCCCAGCACAGTGTGCCCCAGCCAGGCCAACGGAGGAGCATTTGTGCTGCTCACCTGGTAGTTAAGACGATAAAAGTCTCCTATTGACCGAGGAAAGTCTCCTATTGACCGAGGCCGGGTCTGAGCGGGCAGAGGCGTCCCGGCAGTGCCTCTGCTCAGCTTTCCTACAGACCCACCAGCTGCCCAAAGAGGCACTGCCAGCCTCGCTGCGAGGGCTGCTCCAGCCCTCGTTGCAGACAGACGTTTGCAGTGAGCATCCCACATCGGGACACACACACACACACACACACACAGTCCCCGCTCCCCGGATGGGCTCACCCAGCTCGAAAACGCGGCGATGGGTGCTGGGGCCTGCTGCCAGCACCCGTGAGATTCGGAGACTCAGAGGTGACACCGTCCCCCAGCAATCTGGAGCAGCAGTGTGAGCAATTTTGATTAACTCCTGCCAAAAGCTGGCGCTGGCGATGTGATAGGAATTGATGCTAATCCCGTCTCATCCACCGCTTGAGAAGATAGCTGCGTCCATCCTCTGAGGGGTGCCTGGGGAGGCTCGTCACACACTTGAAAATTAATTATCAGCCCTGTAGAACGATGCACGGCCCTGCTATTACAATCAGTGGGGTCACATCCCTTTTGTGGCCCTGATCTACTGCGAGTTTGGCAGAGATTTATTGTCTCCATGTCGGGAACGAGCCTCAGCTTTTCTGCTCCATGTTGTCCGCTCTGTGCAGCAGCCTAATTCCTGTCTGCAAAAAGCAGCTGGGGCCCGGGGCAAGGTGCCCGACAGACAGCCCAGGAGACGTCTGCTTATCTGCAACGGCTCGGTTTTGGCACTGGAGCCGGCTTCTCCCACCACGCCGGGCTGACGCTGCTCGCTTCAAGCCAGAGGGATGTTTGGGAAGCAAATCCAGCCTCTGCAGGCTGTGTTATCACAGCGGGTTGTATTTCACTTGCTGGGACCTGGGTGGGATTTGAGATGTCTGCTAGGAAGCCGAGGAGCCGGGAAGGGACGAGTCCTGGGTCCTGCGAATCCCCCAGGCTCAGCAGTCTCTGCAGGGCGGTGGGATGGTGCCGTGGGTGGCAGCGGGGCTGGGACATACCCACAGGCTCAGGGCCCCTGGACAGTCTATTATACCCTTTTTTTAATGGGTAATTATCTTGACAAGATAGAGTGGCTTGCCTGTGCCTTGAGAGATGAATGCGGGGAAAGGCCCAAAGTTGAGGGAGAAGATTAATAGTTCTTGTCAATAATGTGGAAGAAAGGATAACTTGACGGGTTTCACATGAGTAATCTCCACGTAGTCCAAAAACATTTTTATAACTTTGAAGGATGGGCTATAAATTCACCTCCTTGATGTCATCTTTTCTCGTTGGTCAGTTCGCTATCAATTTGCTTTAGTGTCTTGTCAGCAGCACGTTTTGCTCCCTGTCCCAGCGCAGGGACCTCCGGGCGTGCAGCTCTCGGGGCCGTCCCCACTCGGCGGAGATTTGCTCCTCATCCAGCTCCGGCTTCATCCCACCTTCCACAGCAGGGAGGGAGGAGATCAGCCGCTGCCTGGCTGTGCCTCTGGCTGCACAGGCCCTGTGCCCTGGTCCCTGCAGTCACCGTAAATCCCCACCTTGCATCAGGAAGCATCCGTGCGCGGTGGAGCCGGAATTAATTTTGGACACCCTTGGATGGCTTTCTAGGATGCCTCTGCCTCTCTGGAGGATGAAGGCTGTGCTTTTGGCTCCCTGAGGAATCCTCCTTCCCTTTAGCTGTTGCTGAAGGAGCTGTGGCCTGGCGGGGTGCCCGGCCGTGCCGCAGAGGCAGTGATGGAGGCGCAGAGGCCATGGCTCTCCGTTGCGGTGTCACCCCATGGGAGACGCTTTCTTAGCTGTAATTAACAGCGTGCTACATTAATCGGTGTCTTTTGCTAAATGATTAACATGTTTCTAGTCCCATTAAGGGCGGTTATGACAGGAGAGGCAGGCAGCTGTCACTGGTAATTACCAGATCCTTGCAGGATCCTGCAAGCTGGGATGGCTGGGGAGGCTGCAAAGGGCTGCAGGGTCAGCGGCGTGGGAGGGTGGCAGGAGGTGACAAGGGGAGCAGGGTGACAGGAGGCTTTGGGACTGAGCTGAAGGACGGGCAGCCAGTGATGGATACTGCCTGGCAATCCCTTGATGCCACTGGTAAGAGTCTGACCCGATGGGAGCTCCCGGCAAGAGGAAGGAGGTCAGCCCACGGGGGTGAGGATGGGATGTCGATCACAGCCCAGCCCACGTCCCGCTGGGGGACCTGGGAGTACGGGGGTGTCCCGTGGCACTGAGACGTGACATCCTGAGGGCTCTTGGAAGCACAGCCAGATGCCAGCACCCACATTTTCAGAACTATGTTACAGGGAAGTTGGTTGGGTATTTCCCCAGTGAATGTGTTTCTTGGCTGCACATCACCCTCCTCCTGCTTGCAGAGGCCAGGTTAGGTACCCCAAACCTTCCCGGAGTGCTGCTCAGGGGGGCTGGTGTGAAAGCCGCAGCATTCATCTGGACAAGGGACACAGAGGTGATGGGAGGACTTGCAGCTCAAGACCTGAGCCCCGGCAGGGCAGACACAGCCGATGCCTTGAGCTGGCACTGCGAAACACGTCTGCAATGTGGCGTTTGTTTGGGGAGGAGTTTGGTGGTGTTTGAGGTGCGTTTCTACCCGGCTGCTCCTTCCTGGGGCATGCCTTGGTAGCATAAGCTTCTCGCTGGGAAAGAGGTATGCCCTGGCTGGCTGGTGGGTTTGTAGTTTTGGGAATGGGGTTGGAGATTCCAGCTGCTTTAGTCCAGAGTGGGCTTTTTTTCACGAGGGTTTGGCTGCAGAGGTAATGTCCCTGCGGGGAATGGCTGGGACGGCAGGGAGATGGCAGCCCTGCTTTCCGTGTGTCCGCAGACCGAGAGCGGATCGGCCAGGACTCCTCGTACGAGCAGGAGGGCAAGGTTCAGTTTGTCATCGACGCCGTCTACGCCATGGGACACGCTCTCCACAACATGCACAAGAACCTGTGCCCCGGCAAGGTGGGGCTGTGCCCCAGGATGGACCCGGTGGACGGCGTGGAGCTGCTCAAGTACATCCGCAATGTCAACTTCTCAGGTCTGTCCGTCCCCGGGGCGGTGGGGAGGAACGGCCCCGTGGGGCTGGGTGTCTCGGGCTGTCCCCTGTTATGGGTCACACAGCAGCACCCACAATTTGTTCCTGTTACCATTTGGCACCCGCCGCACTGCAAAAGCGGGGTGCAGGGACGGGATGGTTTTGCAGCAGATCGGCAGATGAGGAGGTCTGAGCTTCCACATCTCCTTTGGATCTGCCTTTGGAGAGTAACCCAGAGGCAATCCTGCCCTTACCCTGCCATCCTGCCTGCCTGGCCTCTCCCCCCCTCGCTCCCCACTGCTGCCTCCTCGCATCACAGCTGGCAGAGGTCCTGCTGAATCACACTGCCATGTCCTTGTCTATCTTCAAATCTCCCGTGGAAATGCATCTTTTCCTCCACTCTATCTCCTTAATAAACATTTTCTGTCTTGTCCTCCTTATTACTTCTATTTATCTCCACTCTGTGATCTCCTCTGCAGTGTCTCTTTTATTTATTTTCCCCTCTTGCTTGATTTTTCTCTTCCTTCCTTTCATTAGTGTTTATCTGCACAGTTCACTTGATTTAAGTTTAAAGCTGCTTTTCCCCCCTTTCTTAAAAGAAGCAGTAGTAGACTGGCTGGAGTAACAGCTCTCGGTGCCTGGCATCGCTCGGTGAGCTCCAGCTCCTGGGGGGGGTCAGTGGGTCGATACCAGAAGGTCCCTGCACCCAACTTGGGTTTGGGGTTGCTTTTCTTTTCCCCTGTTGCTTCCGCCACCCTGTGCCCACGCTGGCAGCTTGCGGCACTCCCAGCAGTGAGAAACCCCACGTCGAGGGGGAAGCAGCAAACCAGAGACCCCTTCGACACCATCACCCAGGACACCCAGTGCTGCGGGTGCTGTGGGTGCTGAGCCCTCCCTCTCTTGCAGGCATTGCTGGGACTCCTGTGACGTTCAACGAGAACGGAGACGCGCCAGGGCGTTACGACATCTACCAGTACCAGATCAGGAACTCCACTCCGGAATACAAAGTCATCGGGCAGTGGACTGACCACCTCCACCTAAAAGTAAGGCTGGGGGCTGGCTGGAGCCTGTGGCGTGGCCGTGCACGGTCCGTGCCAAGGGGAAGGTCCTGCAGATTTCTCCCGCACCCATCGAAGCCACGTAGGGTGTAACAAACCCAGCTGGGTGCCAGGGAGCCCACGGGTGCAAAGTTAGGCAGCCAAACTTGGGGGAGGGTCGGAGGGGAGGGTGTCCCTGGGTATACACTTGTGGTTCAGCCACGGTGACCCATCATCAGTGCATGTGACCATATCTCATGAGCATCCAGCTTTCCAGCTCTGATAAGCAGCCAGAACAGAGCAGAGGGTGTTTTCCCAGGGAAGGAGGAACTTTGTTTTGGGTTTCTAGTAATGAATCTGCCCAAAAGGCCGATGGAGAGCTTCACCGCCTCCGCGTCCCCACGCTGGGTAGGGCTGGGGTCCTTCATGGGATGTACTGATGGGGCGAGGGGCTGGATCTGGGCCACCCTGCCACGAGCAGAGGGCATCCCCCCATACCCCCAGGGGTGCTTGACAGATGCCCAGCTCGAGCATCAGTGGGGCCAGTGCCATCTCGCCCCGCAGGTGGAGAGCATGCTGTGGCCGGGGGGCGGGAGCCAGCTCCCCAGCTCCATCTGCAGCCTGCCCTGCAAGCCAGGCGAGAGGAAGAAGTTGGTGAAGGGCATTCCCTGCTGCTGGCACTGCGAGCGCTGCGATGGCTACCAGTACCAGCTGGACGAGTTCCACTGCAAGCGGTGCCACTTCAACGAGCGGCCCAACGAGAACCACACCAGTTGCACCCCCATCCCCATCATCAAGCTGGAGTGGAGCTCGCCCTGGGCCGTGGTGCCCGTCTTCATCGCCATCGTGGGCATCATCGCCACGCTCTTCGTGGTGGTCACCTTCGTGCGCTACAACGATACGCCCATCGTCAAGGCGTCAGGGCGGGAGCTGAGCTACGTCCTGCTGACGGGCATCTTCCTCTGCTACGCCACCACCTTCCTCATGATCGCTGAGCCTGACTTGAGCACGTGCTCCTTGCGACGCATCTTCCTCGGGCTCGGCATGAGCATCAGCTACGCCGCCCTGCTCACTAAGACCAACCGCATCTACCGCATCTTCGAGCAGGGCAAGAAGTCGGTGAGTGCCCCCCGGTTCATCAGCCCCGCTTCCCAGCTGGTCATCACCTTCAGCCTCATCTCGCTGCAGCTCGTGGGCGTCTGCATCTGGTTCATCGTGGACCCGTCCCACTCTGTCATTGACTACGAGGACCAGCGGACTACAAACCCCCACTTTGCCCGGGGCATCCTCAAATGTGACATTTCGGACCTCTCCCTCATCTGTTTGCTTGGGTACAGCATGCTTCTCATGGTCACCTGCACTGTGTATGCTATTAAGACCCGCGGGGTCCCAGAGACCTTTAACGAAGCCAAACCCATCGGGTTCACCATGTACACTACTTGCATTGTGTGGTTAGCCTTCATCCCTATATTTTTTGGGACATCGCAGTCGGCGGAAAAGGTAAGGGAGGAGGGGAGAGGTCTGGCTGGTGGCCCTGTGGGCTGCAAGGAAGGGGGCTGAGAGAGGCTGGCATGTCCTAAGCAAGGACGGGTGCTTCTCTGCGGTCCTGCCAGCTTGGGAATAGTGGTGGAAAGACTTGATTTGCAAATCTCTTGTTTCTACTGGGGAGTAGAGACTTTCCTGTTTCATTTTGTCCCTCTCCCTCTGTTTTCTTGTGCCCTGTTGACCCCACTGCCTGGATTTGGACAGGGTAGCAGTGCTGCTGCTGCGTGGGCTGAGGGAGGATGAGTCCCCAGGGCAGATCCAGGTCCCCACTGTGACGAGCACCATTTCTGCATGGGAAAGGGACTGAGTACTGCCCAGTGACCACCTTTTCCTGGTGCTGAGTCAGTGATGGAGGCTGGAGAGATAGAGCTGCTCTCTGAAATCCCTGAGAGCTGGAAGCAGTGGAGGGCATGGGCAAAGGAGAGGGAGCACAGCAACCTCCCCCCCAGTGCATCCCCTCCTGTGCCAGGGCACGCGGCAGCTTGTGACTTCTCACTCGATTACCATTTTGCTGTGATTTTAATTAACACCTCACCTCTGTGTTTGGCAACATGGCACTGACAACAAATTGCTCGGCTGGGTGGCACAGAGCTGCGGGGGGAGCAGAGCAGCTCTGTCTCGCGGAGGGGCTTGGGGAGCGAGCATCCCCTGTGACTCCAAATGTGACTTCGCACACTGTGTAGACAAGGCCAGGCCAGATAATCCCAGAGGTGGGTTTGTGCTGCGAAACAACTGTCTGTCTGTTCTCCTCCCTGTCCTTGGCTCGTGGAGGGTGGTCCCCGTGCCGGTACCCACGGGACTGAAGCCAGCCGGGATGAAGTTCTGTGCTCAAGTGAGAGGGAGTGAGAACAAAGAAGAAAAATCTCATGAATGAGACCCAAATCCCCTTTGCCTGCCAGCCAAAACAAGAATCGTATTTATGTTAAATGCAAACAGCTCGCGCCTGCCAGCCCAGAGCTGCCTGTGACAAATAAACCTCATGCTGCTATTCCCTGGAAATCCCCGGAGTGACCCACTGCCTGGATTCCCTCTCTGGTCCCATCACGACTGGGATAATTTCCTCTGAGTGTGTCCCCCATGATGCTGAGCTGCTGACACCACAGCTTTTGGAAACACCTACTGCAAAAGGGCCAGGGGTGGTTTGCTGAGAGATCTTTTGCTGTGAACACAAGAGTTTCAGATGTGTCCTGGAGAGCTGTGTCTGCTCAGAGCATCAAACCCCTCGAGGAGGCCGGGTCTGCACAGGCACCTTTAACCTTGGCTCAACCAAAAAGTCTCTACCAAGCCAGCCCACACTGACTGGGTGTGAAGGAGAATTAAAGGAAATAAATGGAGCCTTTTGCAGCATTTCCATTTTGATGAGATGGCAGGGGAGATACTAACAAGAAAGCAGGTTTTTTAAGAAATTATTGCAAAACAAAAGCTCCCTTAAAGCCTCCTTAATGTGCTCGGCATACTGTGGGTAATAAAGATGGAAATGATAATGATTGTAGATTATGCGCAAGGTTGCTCACCTCTTCACTGCAGCTTGTCATGGGATAATTTAGGGCTGCCGAAAGCTGGCTGTCAGGCAGCAATTCGACAACAGGCTGTGCCTCACTTCGGGGGCTTGTAATGTGCAGGGCTTCTCTGTTATTAGGCTGCTAACAAGCTGATTAGAGGCGGAAAAAGTGATGTTCCCAACTCCCCTCGGACGCAGCTCTCTTTCTCAAAGCCTGCTGCTGCCACGGCATCCGCTGAGCAATCCCCGGAGGGGTCTGTGGTGTTTCAGCTTGGCGCTCGGCCGTGCTGCCGTGGGATGCGAGCTCTGAGCATCTCCAGGCCGCGGCTGAAGGGCGATGCATGCGCTCAAAGGGGCAGTCGGAGGAATCGGGTGCTCGGTGCTGCCTCGGAGCTTTAGCTGCTGGTTTGCAGTCTTGGGGGAGAAAAAGGTCAAAAAGGTGTCATTACGCTGCCTGCCCAGAGGATCTGGCTCCACCCTTGGGGTGAAAACTGGGGGTGTTGGCATTGGCATCACCCTGTGGTGGTGCTGGTGCTGCCCAGGATGCTCGGCAGGGCACAGTGGGGAGGGGTCCCCTCATCCCCTCACCTTCACCCCGTGGCTGCCGGGACCGGGGCCGCGCTGGGCTCCGTGGAGGGTCAGCACACCTGGGAAAAGAAGAGCCAGGAGCATCGGCTGGGCTGTTGTTCTCCCTGTAGAGCACAGCTGGAGTTTCGCTCGAGTCCTGAGCATGCCATGGAGCAGAGTCACACCTCCAAACGCCACCCAGCACTTCTGCCCCGACCCCGTCTGAGCTTGCAGCCAAGTCTGCCTCATGGCCTGGAAGAGCTGGATAAAAATCTCCATTTTTATTTTATTTTGCTTTACTTTGTGCCTACAACTTTGCATGGAGGTGGCATATTATTATAACAAGTCCCCCAAGCCTTTTCTCAAAAGAACCTCTTATCCCTGCCGATCCCAGCGGATTACAGAAATAGCAATAACAGAGGATCTAAAGAAAGAGACAATTTCCTGCGCTGATAAGGCGGCAGCTGAACAGTGGTGTCATTGTCTGGTTCTCTGTTTATCACATTTGCTTTCAGCGAGGGAAAAGAAGGAGAGAAGAAGGAATGAGAAAGCCTATCCAGTGGTTTGGTTAGCAGCGCTGGATGAGGATTGAGTGGGTTTTCCCTTCCCCAGCACCTGTGGTCATGCAGAATCTCGCGTAGCTGGGTCAGGCCTGGATTTAGAGGTGGGGGTTGCCAATTAATGGCAGAGATTGGCTTTGGGACAAACACAAGCTGTGCAGGGCTGTGACTTGAGCGTGGGCTACCCGCCCCTCGGGGCAGGACAGGCTCATCCAGCCCCAGGGCAAAGCCTGAGCACAGCGCTGGGCTTGGGAACTTGGGCTGGGTCATTTAGGGTTGCTGCCGTCCCTCGACACAGCGTCATCGTCCTGAGTCAGAGACTGGCTGTGTTCTTTGATCTTATCCACGGAGCAGCGGATGCTGCTGAACCAGGAGCTGTAACTTCTTTGATAACTGCAGCGCACACCTCAAAGGGCTTTGGAGGCAGCTCAAGTGTCGTTAACAGAGGGGCAAAGTGGGGTTCTGAGTTGGAAACCAATTAAGAGAGAGGGAGCCAAAATCGTGAGAAATGGTCACTTTTTGATGTGGCAAAAGGTTAACTGTGCAGTGCTTCAAGGCTGTGTTTAGACTCCAGGCTAAAAATATTTCTCTCTAAGCTGAAAAGAGACTTGCTGTGGTGTGACACAAAGCTGTTGAGGTTAACACAGAAAACGGGGCTGCTTCTCGCAAATGTATCACTAGGGTGAAGGTAGCCACGGTGGCCCTGTGAGACCCCAAAAGTGCTCCAGAGGTTTGAGGAGGGCTAAGAGATGGAGGGGGGAGCATGGGGAGCCTGGAGCTGGTGCCATCTGGGTTCTTGGTGGAGGGGAGTCCCCGGTGGCACTGGGAGATGGAGCCCCGACCCAGGCGTGTAGGGGGAAGCGTGCACGGAGACGTCTTGTCTGAGCTCAAGCTCAGCTGCTCTCTCCCTCTTCGCTGAAACGCCTCCGAGTCCCGAGGCACGGGTGGGAGTCGCTGCAGAGGCAGGAAATATGGAAATTGCTGTATTGAAAAGTGAAGCTCCTCCGAAAGGCATCTGCTGAGGAGCAGGAGGGCGGGCAGGCAGGGGAGCTGGGGAGGGGAAGGGCTGGGGAGTCTCAGTCGTGTCCCATGGGGTATCATGATGGTGCTGAGCAGAGTTGTGCCTGTCCTCGGGACAGGGGTTGGGGTGCTTGGAGTTGGTGTGCTAGTGCTGCCCTCGTTCCCAGCAAGTCTGGTCCTTGCTGTCCAGGGAACTTGTGGCAATGTCTGGAGAGTTTCAGGGAAAAAAAAAAAAAAGGCAAGGAGAAAAAAAAAAAAAAGCCCAGATATTCTGGCGATATGTTTTGACTTTCCTTGATGAAATGACATTTTTATTTCCAAAAACTGCCTAGATTGATTCTGCATGCATATAGAGAGAAGGTGGAATAAACAAACCAGCCCATGTGACAGCAAGAGGTTTTATTCTGGGGACAAACAAAACTTTGCAGTTGACTCAGGAGGAGCTTCATTGCTTGTTTTCTTTTGGGTTGAGTTGGAACGCTTCGGGCCCATGTGTTTGTTTTCTTTGCATGGTCACAGCTGGGACCCGCAGGTCCTGGGGTGGGATGAGAGCCCCAGCCGGGAGCTGTTGCCTCGTGGGATGGAGCTACCTCCATGCACCTTCTCCCCCGGGAGCTGGGCAAAATCTCTGTGCTCAGCTTCTGTCCTCAGTCACCTTTTTGTTCTACTGACTCCAGAAAAGTTAAGTGTGTGCAGCTGAGAAGGTGGGGACCTCCTGTCCTCACTGCTGCTGCAGCCCTCAGGCTTCCCCCAGCTCTTCCAGTTCCTGCCACCTTGCACAGTACTAACTCCCACGTGTGAAACAACTGCAGAAGAAATCCCAGATGCCACGCTGCGACTGAGCTATGGGATAAAGTTCAGAAACTGCCTTAAGCCTCCTTCTAAAACCTTGTTAGCAATCTGAAAAAGAGCCCTGGCGTCTGACCACAGCTGGAAAAGAAAAAAAGGTGTGTGTAAAGGCACCTGAAGACCCAGAGCCCTCTCCCTGCTCAGCCCGGAGAGATGCAGCACGTGAGCTATGCGGTAGAGGAGAGGATGCTGGAGAGGACGGAGCCCTGTGCCAGGAGTAGGGATGCTGACGGAGCAGGGATGCTCATGGAGGGGCTTGCCTGCCCGGCCTCCTGTGTTGCTTGGGGGGCGAGGGATGGGCGGAGGGAAGGGGTCTCTTTGCCTCCCATTGCCGCCTGCTTCAGATGCCCCTGGCTTGTGAGAAGCCTGCCAAACGCTTTCCATAGAAAAATGGATTATTCTACAGTCAGATTAATGGGCTTTCATTTTGCAAAACATCTGTCACTGTTAGTCCTGGACAGTGAGCGTGAAATTAGTTTTGACTGCAGAAAGGCAACGTCGGTGTGTAATATGTGACTTACATGACAACGGCCCAGGAATCCAGCTGGGGAATGGGAATTACCTGTTGAAGGGAGATGGGGGGGCGAGGGGTGCCCTGGCCCGGGCCCTGGGAGTGGGTGTCCTTGCTGTGCCCATCACCGCAGCGTTGGAGCTCCTGCCCTGAGGCTGGTGGAATGTGCTGTGAGCGCTGGGGAGGAGAGAGGGAGGGTGAAGAGCAGGGGCTCTGTCTCCGTTGATGTTTTTTGGGTTGGGGTGCTGGCAGGTTGCTGCAGGAGCATGCATGGGTGCTGAGAGGTCTTGGTTCAGGGAGGCTGTGCCAGGGCCCCGAAACACAGGTCAGGGCACCGGCACAGCCTCCCTGTGTTTACAGGTTGGGGAAACAGCAGAAGTGAGCCGGAGGCCTCTCCGGGTGCAGCTTGACCCACACAGCAAGTCAAGTCTGATGTTAAAGATCCAAAACTGCCAACATTTCCAACCCTGGCTCTTCACCCCTTCATTTATTTAACCATAATGATTCTACCTTCCTCTGTTTCCTCGCCTTTCCCAGCTGACTCTTTCTGGATCCGGCAGAGTCGTGGTGAGTCTCAGCACGTGCCCTTGTGTCTTGCAGATGTACATCCAGACCACGACGCTCACCATCTCGGTGAGTCTGAGTGCCTCGGTGTCCCTGGGCATGCTCTACATGCCCAAGGTGTACATCATCCTCTTCCACCCGGAGCAGAACGTCCCCAAGCGCAAGCGGAGCCTAAAGGCAGTAGTGACGGCAGCCACCATGTCCAACAAGTTCTCTCAGAAGGGAGGTTTCCGCCCCAACGGAGAGGCCAAATCAGAGCTCTGCGAAAATCTGGAAACACAAGGTAACGTGGCTCCCTGCAGGGTTGGGGAGCTGGTGTTGCTGGGAGCTGATGTGATGCTGGGAAGCCCAAAGCCTTGACTCGCTGGCAGGCCGTAGCCGTGCTGTCCTCCATGGGCACGAGCAATGCTGCCAGCGCTGCTCCTTGGCAAAGGGACATCTCAGCTCCCTCCTGCCCCGTGGCTTGGCCCGTCATCCCCCAGGAGCCAGGCAGCCTGGGAGGAGATGCATCCCGCGGGCTGGGGGTCACTCTGCTCCCCGCCGTGCCCAAAGCCACCCCGAGGAGGGAGGTATGCTCCAGTTATCTGCGTTCCAGCTGGGGCATGTGCAGGGATTCCAGGCTCTTAGCGAGGGGACAGCATCGTCTCCTGTCTGTGGGCAGGAGAGATTCCCCCTTCGTTAATTTATTCCCACCCAAGAAACACCGTTTTCCATTGCCACAGCCACATTGCTGAGACAGATGTGTCCTGCCTCCCTCTGATTGGGATCACTCCTGGCACTCTCATCCCTCCACAGGCCTGTTCACATTATCCCGTGGGAAATGCTGCTGGGTGGGTGGCAGGGGGAATAACGCTGGAGACATGCTGCTGCTGGGTGAAATGCTGGCTGGGGCACACGGAAATCTGTTCAAACACCCAGAGGAGGATCCTGATGTCAGCCCACGCTGGGTACCTGGAGCTGCTCCCGGGAAGGTTCTGGTGTGGCTGACGGGGAAAGGTGTTTGGTGTCTGCCTGCGGGCTGTTCCCAGGGGCCAGGCTGCAGCTAAGGCTGACACAGGGACAGAGCCACCGGTGTCCCCTGGGAAGAGAGGCTGGGGGCTCAGGAAACCTTGGGAAAGTGGGTGTGTGCCTGTTCTGTATTTAGGTTTCCAAAAACAGAGCCTTGCAGGAGGAAGAAAAGGTTGGAGCCAATGCTGCTGGGGTCCTTTGAGAATTGAAATCCTATTTGGGCTAAATTTGAAGAAACCCCCACGGAAATACAAGTATTCCTCATGTACCAGCAGAGTTTCTGGGTTCCAGTGTCGGTGGGATGGAGACCAAACAGCATTTCCATGGAAAGCCGTGATTGGCGTGTAATTCCATGCTTGCTCTCTTTCCAGCCTGAGCGATTTAATATCCCTTGGCATCTCTGTCTAACCTCCGTATCCACAGCGCTCTGTGTAAGGGCTCTCACTGGCAGTGGCTCTGTGCACGATGTCTCTCCGTAGGCAGTCTCTCTGCATAATGCACTCTTTCATCTCCCTATCTGCATTGTGAAGGGCAGCTACAGTCAGACCCTGTGCTGGAGGTGGCTTTTGTCAGCCGCTATCACAGATCTGTGTGGTCTGCGGTCCCACCCCAACGTGGTAGTGGGGTCTGCCCCCATTTTGGCTGTGCCAGGGGTGCTCCACACAAGACTGGGGGTATCTGTGGGCTCCCCACGGTAAGGGCTTGCCGGGAACACGCCAGCCCTGTCCTGGTGCCAGACTCCCCGTGGTATTGGTGTCACCTGGCCAGGGCTCTGCTGGCACAAAGGGCCAATACCCCCTTTGCAGCAGGGCTCAGGGGCCCAGATGCAGCGAGCATCTCGTCCGGAACCTGAACCCAAACATTCCCATATGTTCTCCGTTGTGCTGAGCATCCTTCTCCCCCGCGGGACTCGCAGCAGGAGCCTCTGAGGATCGTACGTGCCGGGAGGAGGGAGAGCTGAAGCCTCCCGTCTGCCGCATCTCCGGCTCTGCTGTGTCTCGCATGGGGAATACAGGAGCTCGGTGTGAACGGGGCTGGCAGTGCGCTCCCGAGGTGTGCCAAGGCAGGGAGCTGGGCAAGGCATCTGTGCTGGGGCAGGAGGCACAATGGGGTTGTCAGCGCAGGACCAAGGGGTCGTTTTTCACTCTGTCACTGGTGGGTCACGTATCCTTAAATAAACAACAGAAAAAATAATTCTCAGGGCTTTGATATGGGCAGATTGGCTATGAAAACATTGCGGCTAACAAATAGCTCTGTCAGCTCTAATTTCTTATGGCCTATCTAATTGTTATCTGGGAATACCAGTCTGAAATCTGCAGCAAGGTTCATTTGTCAGCGAGACACCGAGACGGAGGGAGAGCTGCTGGGCGTCTCCTCTGCGCGGTGCTGGTCTCTGCAGAGGACACGTTCGTGCTGCTTGTGGTGTCTTGGGCTCTGCTCAGTGTCCCAGCGCTCATCCCTGTCCTTGGCTGGAAGGTGTCCGTGTGTCTGCTGAGCCCACTGGGACCTGGAGACTTCATGGTGGGATCTCCGCAGAGCATCATGCCTGGCTGAAGTGCTGAGGCAAGCCAGGGCATTGCAAATCACAGCTTCCACCTCTCCCGGAGCTGTGGCTGCTGCTAAAAGCAAATGATGTGCTGCAGCCTCCGAGCCCGAAGGCAGCGGTGCAGCCCCGCAGGGGAGCAGGAGGATTTATTGCTATCTGGTGTTTTCCTGGCGTTGGGCCTTGCTGCGGCTGCCCCGGTGACAGTCTGGGACGTGTGGTGGCTTTGTAGCCATTGCCACCGCCTCTCCTTGTGTGTTCAACCCCGTCCTGAGGGCTGGGGAAGCTGGAAGGTGGCAGCAAGTTTGTGGATGTGCTCTGCTCCTCCGGCATCCGAGCACGGGCACAAGGATCCTTGGCTGGGGGATGCAGCCAGGCTGGTTGGCTTCGTGCCACCCGCTGCCGGCGCTGGCAGCTCAGCTCCCAGCTGCCATGGATCGGCGTGCAGGGGTGCAGGGCACCCAGCTTGGACCCCAAATTATGCTCTTGTAGGGCTGGGGCAAGCTGAGCTTTTGGGAATGAGGAGCACCCGTGGATTTGTCCGTAAGAGGTTGCTGAGGGAAGTGAATGGGAGCCTGAGGACACCTCCCCCCTGGCTCATGTCACATCCCGGGGGCTCTCTTCGGGATGAACTCTCTTTAGAGAGCCCCCAAGGGCTGCTGTGGGGCTCAACCCCTCTGCCACGGCTCAGTGCCCTCGCAGGGAACGATCCCGAGCGCTGGCGCTGGCCGCATCCATGAGCAAACGCCATGTCACATCCCCGCCAGCATCTCCTGTCACGACGGTCAGGTCAGGGTGATGGGACAGGAGCCAGAAAGGGAGGGTGGGCTTCATTAACGATACATGTGGGGTTTGTCTCTCTTTCCAGCACTGGCTACCAAACAGACCTACGTCAGCTATAGCAACCACGCGATTTAGCTCCAGCGATCGCAACTGCCTGGCGTAGAGGGAGGCTGCGGATGCCACGAGGCGGGAGGGAGCCGAGTCGCATCGCTCATCGCAGGACGCTGGAGGGGGACCCTGACGGGATGGGGAGGTGGCAGCGGGAGGGGGGGACACGCTCCTGGGGGGGGCCGCTGGGCAGAGCTCCCGGGGAAGATGGCAATCAACAGCAGCAAAAAAAAATAAAGAAACAATAAAAATAAACCACCGACCACCGTGACAATGCATGCCTCCCCACAGAGGAAGAGGAACAGCTGATCAGGGGGGATGTAGCACGGGGAAGAGGTGACGGACTTTGGCAAATCTTTGGGGTTATTTTTTTCTGTATCTTGGCAAAAAAGAAAAAAAAAAAAAGACACCCTACGTTTTCCCTTTCCTGGAATTTGTGAGATTGTTTGTGGTTGTGCAGAACTTTGTTTTCTCTTTCTTTTTTTTTTTAATCCTCCATTTTCTTTTGTTCCTGTCTTCCTCTGTCCCTCTTCACTCTCTTTCCCATATCCTACCAAATTCTATATGTTGCAAAAGGAAAAGTAAATAAAAATGCATAAAATTTAAATAAAAAACAGACATCAAAATAAAATAAAATAAAACCTAGACTGTGTTCAAAGTGCTGATTTTTATAGGTGGTTAATTAATGTATGTGATGACCATATGGATTGAAATATGTCTGCTTTATGTACTGACCAGTCAAAAAACAAAAACCCACAAAAAAAAAAAACAAAGTTCAGTGCCTGGATGTTTATGAATTATTCGATGACTGTGTAGAGCATGATCATTTTTATACGAGGAGATTTCTAATAAAAAAAACATGGTTTTGCACTCGGCGTTTGCTGTCTCTTGGTGACTCTTCGTTCCGGGCTCCGGGAGGTGCCTTGGTTTTGGCTGACAGAGAAGGTTTTGGGTGGCCAAGCGCTCCAGGACAGCACTGGGCTTGGTGTCCTTCCTCCCCAGGCCACCCTGCTGCAAAGAGGGTCCTTGCGAGAGGGGGTGGGACAGGGAGAGGAGACTCAGCATCACCCTGGCCCAGCGCACTGGAGCACACGCTGTAGCCGGTGCTGCACCAGCGCTCAGGGCTTGGGGCAGGATCTGGGGCAGAAAAGGCTGATTCCTCCTCGTTTGCTCTTCCCCCAGGTGTGGGCTGAGGTTGGAGGGATGGAGCAGAGGGATTTTTCGGGGCTTCCCCCCTCCCTTCAGAGGCAGGGACAGCTCCACCCTCCCCATCTGGACCAACTTGGGTTAATTAGGGAGTTGCCAGCTGACAAAAGCAGCTCTGCTCTTCCTAGCTCCAACTTGCGTGGGGCATAGCACAGCCTGGGGTGTAAGGTATGTGGCTGTTCAAAAAGTCTTTGTTTTGCCTGTTTTGGGGGAGGTTTGGTGTGTTTGCTGCTGGTGTCTCTGTCTTTGTGCTCTGGGGAAGGCCCTTGGCAAAAGGGGTGGCTGTGCTTGTTTATTGCTGGATAAGGAGAGGATGGTCCAAGCTTGTCTGTCTTCTGAAGAGCAGATGGGAGGTGGGGAAAGGAGGCAGAGGAGGGTGCTGCTGCCTGCCCCGGAGAGGTAGGTTATCTCCAGCTTTTGGGGAGGTTGTTGCTTTAGGTGCCCAGCAAAAGTGCTGGAGCTGGCAGCGGTGTCCTGACCTTGCAGAGGCGATCAGGGTGCTGGGATGTCTCCCCATCCCTTTGCTTGCAGTCCTCCTGGCCCAAAGGTGCCTGTATGTTCCCTTCTCTGAGCCTGAGTGAAGTTACCCCTGTGTTCTGCATGTTTCTAGACCTATTTGTCTATTAATTGCAGCTCCGCTCTCGCTCCGGTGGGTCGCCCAGGCTGTGTGCCCTGGGGAGGGGAGGCCTCGGTGTCTCTCTGAGCACCCTGGGGAGCTTCAGCCATTGATCAGTGCCAGAAGGGAAACGTGACTGTTCCCTGCTGGCATGGAGAGGACAGAGCGTGGCTTGAAGGCAGAAGTTAAAAAAAGAAAAAAGAAATGTAATGAAAAGCTTGAAACTTTGATAAGATCATACTTGTCAAAAGAGCTTCTCAGGAGAAAACGACTGCTCCGTTCCCACCGCATCCATCACTGTCGGATCGGATGTGAAATGCCGCCTGGTTCAGAGGGCTCCCACAGAACCTGAGTTGCTGTCTGAGGTGGCGTTTTGAGCTCTGAGATACTGCTCTGCTGTTTTTACAAGCAGCTTTCCACCCTACATTCTGCCTGATAATGACTGGAAAGGCTGATTCTACCTTAGTTGCAGCATCCACCTCCCTTCCTTTGCAGTGTCTGTGAGGAGGGATGATCCAAGTCCTCCAGAGAGGCTGTGACTGGGGACTGACTGTGCTGCCACCAAGCAGATCTTCCAGGCTCATCTGTCTTCTGATGCTCTGGGGAGCTCTGCAGGGCACGGTGCAGACACTGGAGCTGGGCAGGGTGTGGAAGAGAGGGGACCTGTGCTAGCGAGGTGGTCTGCCCCGGCTGATGCTTTCTACCCAGGCAGGGTGCAGAGAGCTGTGCTGACATAACTGCTCTGTTTCAGTACCCGACTGAACTACTTTTTTCCCCATGCAAATACTTCTTCAAGGTGTTGCTCGGTGCCTCTCTTGTCCTCAAACATTTCCACCTTCAAACTGCTTGGCTAGAAAGGCAGCCAGCCCTGGAGTGTGTCCTGCCAGCCGCTCGGGCTGTGCTGCTGCGGGGTGTTGGAGCAGAAAGGTGTGCAGAAATGAGAGCTGTGCTACCGCCGTCGGCAGCCAGCAAGGCACAGCAGCTCCAAAGACTCTTGCTTTGGATGGTGGGGTCTGGGCTTCAGCAGCTGGGATGGCACATCCCCATGGGCTGCTTCTGGTGCTTGCTTGGTGTTTGGGGAAGAAGTCACTTGCCTAAACTTTGAACATGGTTTCAAGTAGAGTCATATTCCCCTCTGCACCAGATCCTATTTAAACACAATAGCTACCCCGATTTCTTGATGGATCTGGTGGAGTGTTAAATCAAAAGAGTCCTCATGTGGGTACTTATTTTGGTGTAAGTGTGCTTTACAGTGATTCAGTCATATTCCTTATAGACTTTAGCTTAAATGATATAAAGATGTTCTTAAACAGATATGCAAAATATTTGCACAAATCCAACCTCACTGGTCTCGAAACAGAATTTTATATTGGCCCCATTTTTTACCAGCTAAAACCTGCACTTACTGGCACCGTTCCTGTGTGCTGCTAAATAGACCTGTATCCTTCCCAGGGCTGGGTGCGTTTCAGCAGCAGATGCAGTGACCTCCCAACATGGCTGGCTAATTTTATACGGCATTTCATGATACAGTGCTGTTTAATTCTAGACTCTTATTTGATTATGAAAGCTAATTAAAAGGGAACAGTCTATAAGCAGTTGAGATAGATGTAGAATGATGTGGATCTAGGCAGGCTCTGGTGCTGATATCTGCAGAGAGGTGATACCCGCTGCTGGGACGGTTTGGGGAGATAGCTGGTGTCTGTTAGGATTGGGTTTCTGCTTTGCTTAATATTTTTGAGGGCAGTTCTGCTGCCTGTGGCTGAGCAGAAGAAAAGCAGAGTTGATACTGATTCCTAGAGACTATATTCCTAGTTTTTGGTACTTTGTGTGTACTCTTTTTTTTTTTTTTTTTTTTTTTTTTTAAATAAGGTGCATGTACTAAAATCTGTGCTGTTGTTTCTCTTCCTTGCCTCCCTTACAGCTTAAAAGCACTTGTCTGATTTTTCCTCTTATTTCTGTGAAGAGTTGTTGAATTTAAATAGAAATAATTGCCTGAGTTCCCTGAGTGGTTGACCCGCTCATTTTTTACTTTTTCTGGGAATCTGAGAAGTGGAGGGAGAAAGCAGAGCTGGTGCCATCTCCCTCCATCACCTGCTTGCAATGATACCATCTCCCCTCTCCTTAAACTTTCTGCTGGCCTTGGCTGCTCTTCCACATCCCCAGATCTTCTCCTGAGCTCCCCTTTCCATGGGCAAGAAGGAACTTTTGGGGTTCTATTGCCCTTTCCGTGGCGTGGTGAGGGGCTGGAGCAGGGAGCTGTATGTGGGCTCGTCTCCCCAGCCCCATGCAGAGCAGCAGCACCATGGAACCTGTCATTAACTCTCTTCTGTGAGAGGCAAATTACAGACTTTAGCAGCACAATTAGGCCAACTTGATAGGAAATAGAAAACCAAAATAATTTCTCTGTGAATTTCTTGGTCTGCCCAACACCTTGTCCCTTGCTCCTCTGTAGCACTGACCTGGGAAAAATTGCTCCCCTGCCCCCCAGGTCTGGAGACCTCCTGTTAAAGCCATGGCAAAGGTCCTTAGTAAGCAAATCTGGAGGAAGGGGATAGGAAGAACAGGGCTGGAGCAGAAAGTGTCTTGTTCCTTGCTCCGAGACAGGTCTCCATCTAGCTCTTCTCCTAAAGGGAGAACTACAGAATCCCATTTTGGCCCCAGGAGAGCTGAGTGCTGCTCAGAGCAAGGTGCGACTTGCATTTAGAGCAGAAGGCTGCAAAGCCTGTGACAGATGTTGCAGTTCATTACGCAGTGGGGGACCAGCTCTGCAGCAAGCAAGTTGAGCTAATTTCTGCGCTAGGAAGAGCTTCTCCCAACAAGACCTGCTGCCAGCTGAAACCTTTGGCCTGGAGCATCAGGCCCTTGTTGGGCCACTGGGAGCTTTGAAGATGCAAACGGAGACTTTGAATTTAGTTTTCCTGGGCAGTGGGAATGCAGCAAGGAGGATGGAGAGCTGTGATGAGCTCATATATGCTGCTGAGAAGATGGGGGGGGTGCCTCTGAGTGGTTTCAGGGGGACAGTGGGTGCTCCAGAGGGAGGTGGCAGCACCCCAGCCCTGCTGCTGGGGAAGGACCAGCGGCAGTGTGGAATTGGGTATGCCGACTGCCTGGTTTCCCTTTGGCAAAGCGGTCCCTGAGGCTGGAGCCTGCAGCCGTGGATGGAAGTGTGTGTGAGAGGGTCTCTCCCCAGTGCCAATGTTCTCTTGCGTGGCCGAGCGAGTCAATGGCAGACTCTGTTGAAATCTCACTTCAGTGGTGAAAGCTGCAATTAGCATTTAATGAAGCTTCTTGCTTTTATTTTTAGGTA